AATGAATGACAATGAATTAAAAATATTTTAAAATATATTTTATTTAAAATTATATTTTTAATGAATAAATAAATTAAAAGAATATTTTTTTAATAAATAATTAAATTAAAAATATTTTTAAAAATTTTATACTAATTATTTTTTAGGAATGTTAAGTTAATATAATAGAAGAATGATAATATAATATATGTATCTCTCTAAAGGATAAAAGTATAATTTAATTGATATTGTAATATATAGAGAGTGAATAATGTAACACTTACATCTTTTAGTGGAGATAATATAATTTACATTAATAACATTAAATTAAATAAATTAAATTATATATTTTAACATAAAATAAAAAACAATGAAATTCTCTTATTTCTTTAAAAAAATAATGTAATTTACTCTTTAATATGTATTTATTTTTGTCTTGACGTTATACGAAACTTTTGAAAAATGAAATTGTCTGAAATCTCCTTAAACACAAATATATCTTAAAACGATTTAGACATATAACTTTTTATATAACACTTGGTTATCAATACATGAGATAAAAATAAATGAAAATATACAATTTTTTTATATACCACAAGTTTTTGCTAACGAATAAATTTCTTATAAGTATTTTTTAAAAATAAGTTTTTTAAGTTCGGTACAATTATTATTTAACTTGCTTATCTAAGTAATGAGCCAATGGCCTAAATATTATTTACAAGTCAACATCTTCATACGCAATCCAAGTACTTTTTTTTATGCAAAATATTTCTAGGCTTCAAGTTCTTTTTATTTAAAAAAAAAATTTAAAGTTGACCACTATTACTTTATCTTGACTAAATGAATGTAAATATAAATATTAAAATAGTAGATTAAGCCTAGTTCAACCTTACAAAACCAGTTTGTAAGGTGAAGATTTTTCTCAATACACTTCCTCATGCTCATGGTGCATGTATCAATGATGAGTGACCAATTTTAAAGAATTAGTAGATTAAGCCTAACTTAACCCTACAAAACAGGTTTGTAAGGTGAGAGTTGTTTTCTACTTATATACTATTTAATTGTTTAATCTCTAGTAGGGTGAGGGTTGCTTTGATTCTCTTAAAAACTGTTAATTGAGTTGAGATTAATTTATACTACGACTAAGGCACTTTAATTTTATTAATGTAGAAGGTCCTCTTTGATTATAACTATGGAGGTACAAGCTAAGTAATCCATAGTAGGTTATTATTTAGGCTTGCTTTGTGACTTTTTACATATGTAATTGAGTACCTCTAGTGCTTCCATATAATATATAATATTTATTGCTTGGCTGATAAAAAAAAAATTGTTTAATCTCTAGTCGATGTGGAATTTGAGTTTTTTCCAATAATAAACACAAGTCTTTTTTACACAATTTTTTTAAAAAAGAAATACAAGAGATTTCACATCCTAGTTTACAATCTTTCACACGTAAGAGTTTTATCTTTCTTGTCCATCAAATTAAAACTCTGGGTATTTGCATACAAGTAGAAAATGTTCACCATAGAACCGTTTGAGATTTTCATCGAAGTTTGAGAAAATGAATGCTAAAGCATTAAATACAATATTTAATGTCTTTCACCAACTAATCACTTTAAAATAATAAAATAAAACATTATTCCTATCTTATTTTTATCTTATTGGAGTTGTGAGTGACAATACAAAGTTATGTTTTATCACACATAATATTTTAGAGGTGCATCTTTTTGCGAGGCAGGTGTGCAAGGGTCTTTCACTTTGCAAAGCTTCTTTGATACATTCATCTACTTATGAAGAACATTCATCATTTTGTCTTGCAAATTAAGATAAGATGATGCAATATATATATATAATGTGTGTAGGATAATATATGTATTTTAAAAGATTCCACTTAAGTCAATTATCTTATCAAGATTAGTTGATTTGTCTTTTTAACTTAAAAAAAATTGTTTTTCTTTCTTTGTTTTATCAAAGTAGAGAAATATATAAACATCTTTTGCTATAATATTATTTACCAATAATTAATATCACCAAATATTTTAATCCACTATATAATAGAGATTTTAGAAAAATTAATTATTGAAATTATTTTTATTTCGTTTTTTTAATTTAATAATTTGCAAGTTGACCCACTAGTCTAGGGACCGAACCCATTAAAAGTGAAGGTTATGTATAGTAGTTCCAAAAAAAGAAAACTGAATTTAAATGGTCCTCATTTTACAAGAGTTATGATGAACATAAATCACAGGTTAAACAA